ATATAAGCACAAATGTGCTGGAAGTTCTCAGATGATCAGATGTGACCCTGAATCCTCTTCTCAAAAGAGGGTCCATTATGCCATCATTGCATAGTGTTGTGAACAAAGAGGGAGATTGCAATATCAAAGATGATTTTTTTGGCAGAGGGCACTGAATCTACGGAATTCTTTACTGCAGAGTATTGTCGAGGTTGGGTCATTAAGGATATTCTGAGACAGATATTTAATCAGTAAGGGAATTGAGGGTTATGGGGAAAAGGCAGGAAAGTGGAGTTGAGGATTATCAGATCAGCTATAATCTCATTGAATGGGAGAGCAGAATCAAAGAGCTGAATGTCCTATATTTGCTCCTACCTCTTATGATCTCATGGTCCACCAACAGCTACAGTTATGTATGGCAGGTTCAAAGAATTTTGCAGAAAACTTCTCATTAACTTGTATATCTTAAAAGAAGCAAGGAAATTGCAGCATGTTGTCAGCTCCTGCGCATATCACTCCAATTGTCAATGGGTTAATTTCCTAATGGTGCTATCTTTACAATATCCACAAGATGGCAGCGGAGTGAGACATTTCAGACAGAGCTCATCCACTCCATCTGCTTCTTTTTCTTTTATTCTCTCTTTGACTTCTGTGTTTTTTTTTCGTCTTTCTCTCTTCTTTCTTCTCCTGGCCACAGACTTAATGCAGACTTGGCGAGACAGCCTTCCAGCTTGGTGGGGCCACCTCCCGGCCTGGCATAGCGGGCTCCCGGCTTGGCACGTTGGCCTCCAGGCCTTGCATGGCAGACTCTTGGCCTGGTGTGGCGATTTCTCAGTGGCCCAGCATGGCAGTCTCTCGGCCTGGCATTGTGGTCTTTCGGCAGTACATGGCAGTCTCTCAGCCTCGCATGGCCTCAGTGTGAACTTCCGATCTCGAGGTGATTCCTCGAAATGCGGTTCCACCGTGGCTAGGCACTTAAGAAAGACTCTATTCAAAGAATCCTTACAGTGTGGAAACAGGCCCTTCAGCCCAACAAGTCTACACCGATCCTCTGAAGAGCATCCCACCCAGACCTATCTCCCTGTCCCTGTAATCCACCGAGTCTACAGGTCCCTAAACACTATGGGTAATTTAACATGGCCAATCAACCTAACCTGCACATCTTTGGACTGTGGGATAAAACCAGAGCACTCAGCGGAAACCCACGCAAACATGAGGAGAATGTGTAAACTCCACAAAGACAATCACTTGAGGTGAGAATTGAACCTCGGTCCCTGGTGCTGTGAGGCAGCAGTGCTACCACTGAGTCCCGTGCTGTCCAGTGCTTGGCCTTTCAGGTTTATTTCTTTATTTTTGACTTAAAACTAAGAAGGTCGGCAATGTGTAACCTATAACCTTATTTCGTATGTTTTACTTGTTGTTCTTAAGATTCTGTACCTGGGTACTTGTACCTAAGATGTTGCCTTGTGTGGCAACATTGTACAATTTTCATTGTACTCCTGTACTTACGTACTTGAATAAAATAAAATCAAATAAATCAATATCAGTCATGCAATATCATGGGGATGAGGCAATAAGTTCAACCTGGAGATAGCAAATAAAAACCGAAAGAACTGCGGATGCTGTAAATCAGGAACAAAAACAAAGTTGCTGGAAAAGGGTGGCATGGTGGCTCAGTGGTTAGCACTGCTGCCTCACAGCTCCAGGGACCCGGGTTCGATTCCACCCTCAGTCGACTGTCTGTGTGGAGTTTACACGTTCTTCCCGTGTCTGCATGGGTTTTCTCTGGGTGCTCCGGTTTCCTCCCACAGTCCAAAGATGTGCAGGCTAGGTGGATTGGCCATGCTAAATTGCCCGTAGTGTTCAGGGATGTGTACATTAGGTAGGTTTTAGGGGGATGGGTCTGGGTGGGATGCACTGAGGGTCGGTGTGGACTTGTTGGGGCCAAAGGGCCTGTTTCCACACTGTAGGGATTCTATAAATTTTATCTATAAAAAAAATTCTATCTTTAAAAAGGCCTGGCAACATCTGTGACTCACCATCAGTTCTGAGGAAGGGTCACCGGACCCGAAACGTTAACCTTGATTTGTTCTTCACAGATGTTGCCAAACCTGCCGATCTTTTTCAGCAACTTTGTTTTTGTTCCTGGAGATAACAAGAACTGCTGATGCTGGAGTCAGAGACAACACAGTGTGGAGCTGGAGGAACACAGCAGGTCAGGCACCATCAAAGGAGTAGGAAAGGCAACATTTCGGATTTCTGAAGAAGGGTCCCAACTCGAAACGTCGACTTTCCTACTCCTCTGATGCTGCCTGACCTGCTATGTTCCTCCAGCTCCACAATAAGTTCAACCTGTTTGCTATGACCATCATGGTCTGAGACTGAAGCACAATGCCACAGACTGGAAGGAGGATTTTGCTGAAATGAAGGGCACAGTGGACTGAATGACTGCTCTATTACTATGTGCTGGGAGGTAAGTACACGGCATTCTTCAGTCATAACTCACTGTCACTGTCACAGAAATAGCAGGCATAGCCAAACAAGTCATGGCAATGTGTCAAGAAGTGGACCATTCCTGAACAAGTGCTGAAGAAAGTGGCCATATTCCAATCAAGATGGGATAAATGCAACAGCTAGTGATATCTTCCCTAACAATGATTAGCAACAGAACAATTCTTGAAATAAAATGTATATTAGATTACAGACTTACAAATATTAATGAAGGAACATGAACAATAATGAGGATGAACAGCACAGCATCAAAATGCTGCAGCAATTTAGAACAACCTGGGATTTCATAGATCATAGAATCACTACAGTGTGGAAACAAGCCCTTTGGCCCAACAAGTCCATACTGACCCTAAGAGCATCCTACCCAGACCCAACCCCTATAACCCACCTAATCTACACATCCCTGAACCCTATGGGTAATTTAGCATGGCCAATCCACCTAGCCTGCACATCTTTGGACTGTGGGAGGAAACCGGAGCACCTGGAAGAAACCCACGCAGACACGGGGAGAATGTGCAAACTCCACACAGACAGTCGTCCGAAGGTGGAATCGAACCCGGGTCCCTGGTGCTGTGAGGCAGCAGTGCTAACCACTGAGCCATGACTTTGAAAAAAAGAACAGACTGGATATATATTTGACTGTTGAACCATAATCTTCTTTTATTTAGCCCTTCCTCACTTAAGGGTCCAAATCCTAGGTTACTTTCAAAAAGCATTTCAAGATTCTTGAAAATTCCCATCCATGTTGCTGAAGCTAAGCTCTTCAGATTATTTGGGCAAAGATAAAACCAATAAGCCAAATTTTTTTCGGTGCAGGAAGCCTTGTTGGGTGTCTTGTTAGTTACTTATTTCCTTATAGAGAAACCTGTAAACATAGAAAGTTGAAGCAAGAGTAGGCCATTTTGCCCATCAGGCTGGCTTTGCCATTCAATGTGATCATGGCTGATCATTCAACTCAATACTCTGTTCCTGTTTTCTCCCTGTACCCCTTCACCCATTCAGCCCAAAGAACTGTATCTATCCAAAGATGTGCAGGTTAGGTGAATTGGCTGTACTAAGTTGCCCATAGAGTTCAAGGATGTGTACATTAGGTGGGTTAAGGGGTAAGGGGATGGGTCTGGCTGGGATGCTGTTCAGAGGGTCAGTGATCTTGTTGGGCTGAATGGCCTGTTTTCGCACTGTTGGGATTCTGTGATTCTATCACCTTCTTGAAAACATTCAACATTTTGGCTTCAACCACATTGTGTGACAAAGGATTCCACAAGTTCACCATTTTCTGGGTGAAGAAAATTCTCCTCATCTCAGCCCTAAATGATCTACCCCATATCCTTCGACTGCAACCACTGATTCAGGACTCTCCAGTCATTAGGAACAATCTTTCTGTCTACCTTGTCTTTCGTTTAGTTTTATATATTTGTACTCAAAGTTGCTTCAAGTGAGACTTGTTAATGAGAATCTACGAATGCAATGAGACATCTGAGAACTTGCATAAAATGGAACAATCTTCAGAATTAATGTGATATAAAGTTTGATTTATAAATAGTGAGAGGAGTGTGAACGAGAGTAAACTGGAGTGGGTGAATTAGAGTCGATGAAGTCAAAGTTCAAACGTACAGAAAGAGAAAGTATGACTGCATTTGGAGAGAATGCAGAAAGGAACAGTGATCTAAAAAATAAGTACTGCAGATATTGGCGATATAAATTTTAAAAACACAGAATGCTGGAGAAACTCAACAGGTCTGGCAGCATGTTTTGAGAGAGAAAGAGAGTTAACATTTTGAGTCCAACATGGCTCTTCTGAGTGCACTGATAAGGAAAAGTGATAATCCATAACCAGAAGTGTAGTGATTATAATGAGGTCGGCCAGGTGTACTTCATAGAATATGAGTTCCCTAATTCAGGCTGTCAATCTGGTCCAATCAGGGAGCACTGGCTGACAGATAAGAACAGGATGTTAGACATCCTGTTCACTTTGAGAGCTGGCTGTGAGGGAACCAGATCTGGTTTAGGACTCTCCACATGTATATAAAAGGTGGCTTGTTGACGTTATACTGGCCTCTGTGCATTTATTTCATGAAGAAATGAGCATCCACAAGTGATAATTGCTTTTTTTCCAGGCAAGAGAAGTTGGTTAGACACCCTTAACAATACAACATTAGATGAACTGTTCATTAAAAGTGTTGACTTCCTGTGGCAAATGTGATGGGTCATTAATCAGCAAGTGCAACAAGTTCATGACAACAAGCTGGAGGTAGAGATTGTGGTATTACTCATGTGATAAGAATGGTGGAGTGGTGCAAATTGTCCTTGCCCTTGTGAGAAATCATGTTCTGCAGCTATCACCACTATACCAAGTGTGTCTGCAGTGTGGTTCATGAACTGTAAAGTTGGATTTTTTTTGGCTTCCTTCAGTTTTTCTCATTGTATAATTTTATCTTTTATTCACTCATGGAATGTGGGTGTCACTAGCTAGGCCAACATGTATTGATCCCTTTATCACCATTTGCCCTTGAGAAGGTGATGGTAAGCTGCCTTTTTGAACTGCTACAGTCTGTATTGTACGTAGAATCTCAATGCTTTTAGGTAGGAAATTCCAAGATTTTAATCCAACGACACTGATCGGATGGACATATGTTGGGATCAAAAGGGAAGAGGTAGTGGGGGTCTTGAAAAACATTAAGGTAGACGAGTCCCCAGGGCCTGATGGGATATACCTCAGAAAACTGAAAGAGGCAAGGGAGGAAATTGCTGGGGCCTTGATAGAAATCTTTGTATCCTCACTGGCTACAGGGGAGGTCCCAGAGGATTGGAGAATAGCCAATGTAGTTCCTTTGTTTAAGAAGGGTAGCACAGATGGTGAGCCTTACGTCAGTGGCAGAGAAATTATTAGAGAGGATTCTTCGAGACAGGATTTACTCCTATTTGGAGAGGCAACATGGTTTTGTGAAGGGGAGGTCGTGCCTCACTAACTTGATTGAGTTTTTTGAGGACGTGACAAAGATGATTGATGAGAGTAGGACGGTAGGGTAGCCTCATGGCACACTCTTACAGAAGGTAAAGTTGCACAGGGTCAGAGGTGAGCTTGCAAGATTTATTAAAAAACTGGCTCGGTCATAGAAGAGAGAAAGTAGCAGTGGAAGGGTGTGTTTCTGAATGGAGGGCTGTGACTAGTGGCATTCCTCAGGGATTAGTGTTGGGACCTTTGCTATTTGTAATATATATATAAATGATTTGGAAGGAAATGTAACTGGTTTGAATAGTAAATTTGCAGATGATCAAAGGTTGGTAAAATTGCAGATAGCGATGAGGACCATCCGAGCATACAGCAGGAGATAGATTGGTTGGTGACTTGGGCAGAGAGATGGTAGATGGAGTTTAATCCAGAAAAATGTGAGGTGATGCAATTCAGAAGGTCTAATCCAGATGGAAAATGTACAGTAAATGGCAGAACCTTTAAGAGTACTGATAGGCAGAGGGATCTGGTTGTACAGGTACACAGGTCACTGAAGGTGGCAACGCAGGTGGAGAAGGTAGTCAACAAGGCATATGGCATGCTTACCTTCATTGGCTGGGGCACTGAATTTAAAAATTGACAGGTAATGTTGCAGCTTCATAGAACCTTAGTTAGACCGCATTTGGAATATTGTGTTCAATTCTGGTCGCCACACTACCAGAAGGATGTGGTGGCTTTGGATAAGGTACAGAAAAGATTTACCAGAATCTTGCCTGGTATGGAGGCATTAGCTATGAGGAAAGGTTGGAGAAACTTGGGTTGTTCTCACTGGAATGACGGAGGTTGAAGGGCAACCTGATAGAAGTCTACAAGATTATGAAGGGCATGGACAGACTGGACAGTCAGAAGCTTTTTCCCAGGGTGGCAGAATCAGTTACTAGGGGGCATAGGTTTAAGATGCGAGGGGTAAGGTTTAAAGGTGATGTACGAGGCAAGGTTTATACATAGAGTGGGGTGGGTGCCTGGAACTCACTGCCAGGAGAGGCAGTGGAAGCAGATACGATAGTGACTTCTAAAGGGTGTCTTGACAAATACATGAATAGGATGGGGTAGAGGGATATTGTCCCTGGAAGGGTAGGGGGTTTTAGTTGTGACGGGCAACATGTCGGTGAGGGCTGAAGGGCCTGTTTCTGTGCTGTAATTTTCTTTATTCTTTATGTTCAATATATTTCGAAGTAAGGATGGTAAGTGGCTTGGAAGGGATCTTGAAGTTGTGGTGTTCCCATGCATCTGTTGCCCCTATCCTTCCCGTGGTCATGGGTTTGGAAGGTACTTGAAAGAGGCTTAGTGCATTTTTGCATGCATCTTGTAGATGGTACACACTGCTGCTACTGAGCATCATTGGTGGATGGAGTGAATGTTTGTAGCTGGGGTGCCAATCAAATGGGCTGTTTTGCCTTGGACTGTGTCAAGCTTCTTGAGTGTTGTTGGAGCTTGCCATTCAGGCAAGTGAAAATAATTTCATCAGACACTTGATTTGTGGCTCGTAGATGGTGGATAGGCTGTGGGGAGACAGGAGGGGAGTTAGTTGCTGTAGGATTGCTAATCTCTGAACTACTTTTATAGCCGCTGCAATCAATTTAGTGCCGTAAAAAAAGAATTGCAGGATTGCTATAGTGTACAAAAAATTAAAAATAACCACCAGTGATATTTTTCTCTTTAAAAAGATCAAAGGTTAGATTATGACACAATAATTGCTGTAGTAACCAAATAAAAAAGCAATATGGGTATAAGCTAAAACACAGGTAGAAAGACTTTTTTATTCACTCAGGGGATGTGAGTGTTGCTGATTAGCCAGCAATTTATTGCATGTTCCTAGTTGCCCTTGAGAAGGTGGTGGTAAGCTGCCTTCCTGAACTGTTGCAGTCCACATGCATAGGTTGATCCACAATGCGTTTAAGGAGAGAATTCCAGGATTTTGACCCAGCGACAATGAGGCAAACTGTATATATTTCTGAGTCAGGATGGTGATTGGCTTGGAGAGGAACTTACAAGTGGTGGTGTTCCTATGTATCTGCTGTTCTTGTCCTTCTGATGGAAGTGGTCATGGTTTTGGAAGGTGCTGCCTGATTGATTTTTTTTATTGTCACATGTACCGAAATACAGTGAAAAGCTTTATTTACGAGTAGTACAGGCAGATCACAGCAAGCAAAGGATGTACAGATCAAAAAAAGATTTAGAGGCATGCAGGTTACGTTGCAAGTTACAATATTTGAGGCTAGAGTCCATTCAACAGTCTGACAATGGCCAGAAAGAAGCTGTTCCTGAACCTGCTTGTGCGTGTGTTCAGGCTTCTGTATCTTCTGCCTGACGGAAGAGATTGTAAGAGGTCATTACCAGGATGCAATGAGTCTTTGATGATGTTGGCTGCCTTTCCGCAACAGCAAGCCATGTAGAAAGAGCCCATGGATAGAAGGTTGGCTTCTGTGATGGTCTGGGCAGTGCACACCAGCTTCCATACTTTCTTAAGGTCCTGGGCAGAGCAGCTACCATTGCAGGCCATTATGCACCTGGACAGTATGCTTTCAATGGTACATCTGTAGAAGTTGGTGAGGGAACTTATGGACATGCCAAATTTCCTGAGCCCCCTGAGGAAGAAGAAGCAATGTTGTGCCTTCTTAACTATCACATTTACGTGGGAAGTCCAAGACAGGCCGTCAGTTGTCGCCACTCCAACGAACTTGATGCTCTTCACTCTCTCCGCCTCAGTTCCATTGATGTAGATGGGGGCATGTCCTCCTCCTTTCTTTCTGAAGTTAATGATCAGTTTTATAGTTTTGTCAACGCTAAGAGACAGATTGTTTTCATTGCACCATGTCCCCAAGCCCTCTATCTCTGTTCTGATCCTGAGGATCTTTGGTGAATTCCAGCAGTGTGTCTTGTAGACGGTACACCCTGCTGCTACTAATCATCAGTGGTGGAGGGAGTGAATGTTTGTGGATGTGATGCCAATCAAGTGGGCTGCTTTGTTCTGGATGGTGTCAAGGTTCTTGAGTATTGTTGGAGCTGTACCCATCCAGGCAAGAAAAGAGTATGCCATCACACTTCTGACATGTGCCTTGTAGATGATGGACAGGCTATGGGAGTCAAGAGGTGAGTAATTTGATGCAGTATTCCTAGCCTCTGACTTAGCAATTGTATTTATTATGGCAAATCCAGTTGAGTTTCTGGTCATTGGTAATACCAAGGATGTTCATAGTCGGGGATTCAGTGATGGTAATACCATTGAATGTCAAGGGGCAATGGTTAGAATTAGAATTAGAATTTTCGAATTAGGATTAGCCTTTGTTGTCACATGTACTCACTCGCATAGTACAGTGAAAAGTTTACAAGCTGCCATTTACGGTGCCATCTTAAGTACAAGTGCACCTAGGTGCAGAATTTTAGTACAAAGCAGAAAAATAAAGAAAGCAAGTTAAGTTAAGCACTTCAGTTCTTCTTACTAAAGCATAGAAAAATAAAGAAACACAGTTAATAGTTAAATTTTGTCTCTTATTGGAGATGGTCATTGCTCGGCATTTTGTGGCACGCACGTTACTTGCCTCCTGTCAGCTCAAGCCAGAATGTTGTCCAGATCTTGTTCATTTGAACTTGGACTGCTTCAGTATCTAAGAAGTCGCAAATGATGCTGAACATTGTGCAATCATTAGTGAACATCCCCACTTCTGACCTTATGATGGAAGGAAGATTATTGATGAAGCAGCTAAAGATGGTTGGGCCTGGGACACTATCCTGAGGAACTCCTGCAAACATGTCCTGGACCTGCAATAACTGACCTCCAACAACCACAACCATCTTTCTATGTGCCGTGTTTGACTCCAACCAGCGGAGAATTTGCCCCTGATTCCTATTGATTCCAGTTTTGCTCAGGCTTCTTGATGCCACACTTGGCCAAGGGTTGTCTCTTTCCCCTCACTTCTGGAATTCAGCTCTTTTGTCCATATTTGAACCAAGGCTATAATGAGGTCAGGAGCTGATTGACCCTGGCGGAACCCAAACCGGACACCAGTCAGCAGGTTATTGCTGAGCAGGTGCTGCTTGATTGCACTATTGATGACATCTTCCATCACTTTGATGATTGAGAGTACTCTGATGGGGCATTGGTTGGCTGGGTTGGATTTGCCCTGCTTTTTGTGTACAGGGTAAATCTGGGCAATTTTCTGCATAGTTGAGTAGATGCTAGTGTTGTAACTGTACTAGGGGAGTGGTAAATTTTAAAGAACAAGTCTTCAGTATAATTGCAGGAATGTTGAGAGGGTCCATAGTCTTTGAGAATCCAATGCCTCCAGCTGTTCCTTGATATCATGTGGAGAGAATCAAATTTGCTGATGATTGGTATTTGTAATGCTGGAGACCACTGGAGGAGGCTAAGATGGATCATCCACTTGGCACTTTTAGCTGAAGGTTGCTGCGAATGCTTTAGCCTTATCTCTTTTGCATGGATGTCTTGATCTCTTTTAGCATTGAGGATGGAGATATTTATGGAGCTGCCTCCTCCAGTGAATTGTTT